AGGCCAGCTCAGCCCACCAGGGGGCGGGCTGGCTGGCATGTGGTGCTGGGGGATTGAACCGCGGTCCCTGATGCTTTTGCTAAGCTTGTTCCAAGTAGGTGCTTTAGACCACTGAGCCATCTCTCCAGCCCCAAAATTTTGTTTGGTTGTTTTGGTTTTTTTCTTTTTCTTTTTTTTTCTTTTGGCAGAACTGGGGATTGAATTCAGGCCCTTGCGCTTGCCAGGGAAGCGTTTATTCCACTGAGCCATCTCCCCGGCCCCTAGTTTGGTTTTCTGAGACAGGGTCTCACTATGTGGCTTAGGCTGGCCTTGAACTCACATGTCCTCCTGCCTCAGCCTCCTAAGTGCTGGGATTACAGGTGTGCACCACTACACCTGGCTACTTTTTAAGTTTTTGAGCAATTTAAAAAAAGTATTTACTAACAAAGGAAACTGTATTAAAATGCCTTTACAGGGCTGTGGAGATACTCAGTGGCATAAGTGCCTTCCTGGCAGATCCCCCATACCAAAAAAGAAAAAGAGGTAAAATACCTTTACAGATAAATTGCACCAAATTCATTCTTTAAAACTAATTTTCCCAGAAAATGGCCTAGAAGAAGCTGAGAAATAACAGAAAGGTAAGGAGGCAAATACAAAGAAAATGGTTCAGAATTGACAGCAGAAACTATGGCTTGATTTCATCCTCACAGTAAACTCACTATTAAATACAATATTATTGCATTTTATAGTTGATAAAAATATTAACAGTGAAATAATTTACCAAAGGACACATAACCAATATACTAGCAAACTTAAAATCTGTGCCTGAAAGTCTGAATCCACTCTTTTGAGTTCTTAAGCATTTATTTTGTAATACAGAAATAGAGCCCTTAGGGAGCCTGGGTTACATCCCTAGCATAAATAATGAGAAATGACTATTATGGATTACTGGACTCTTTTAGAATATTTTTGCTGAATTAACACACATAATATTCAAATGACGGAACTAAACAAAAAAGGAGATATATAAATGAATGTCCATTTTGTATCTGTGTATTCAAAATGGTTAGGATACATATATAGTTACATTCTCTTAATGAATAGAGGGATTTGTTGTAATAGTGTTTGTAAATAGAATATCATGTCTGCATCTTGTACAGCAAATAACCACTAGGAAGACAATATGCAATGTGTTAATTATTGAAACTGTCCTACCAATTTGATTTGAAACTGTCTCATTGTTATTTGTCTGTCAATAAAATTATGGAAAAATAAATAAATAAGTAAAAATAAATAATGAGAAATGAAAGCAGAAGAGGAGGAAAAGGAAAGGAAAATGGAGGGAGTGAGAGAAAGGGAGGTGTGAGGAAAAACCAGTAAATAAAAGTCAAGAAAATAATCTGACAAATTTTAACATGATCTGGACAGAGCCTGGACTTTGAGACACTAGTATTTTTTTTTTACAGTAGGACATTAAATTTTTATTCTAAAATTATCTCTGGCACAACAATAACATTTAAAAATATTCACTAAACAGTATTACTCTGTCATCAGCTGTATAATACATACAGTATCACAGAACTGGCCACTAGGATTAAAATCCATTAGAACATTTTTCATGGTAAGTGGCAACAGCAGCATCTCACAGAAATTTTTACATACAAATATACATACTCCACTTTCAACCATTTTCACATATTTTCAGTACACACAGTTGCAGAACATTACAGTCACATGTTGAAGTTGCTACTTCATAAAAACACAAGCCACTGCCTATACATAACTGTAGCAGTTGAGCTGGACACTAGTATGTTTTAAAGTTTTATCTGAAAGCATTTTTACCAATGAGAAAATTTACAGAAGCAATCTAGGCAAAGTATATCTAAAAAGTACAATTCAGGGGTTATCGCTTTACATGGGAAAAAACATACTCAGCAATGTGTGCATAAGGTTTTATTCCAAGTCTCTCCTTAATCTTCCTTCATCAACAACCTCCTAATTATTGGTTTTCTTTTTACATGAAATTCCCATAATATAGTAGTCCCCCTTAGCTACAGGGGATACTAAGATCCCTCCCAGTGAATATCTGAAACCACAGGTAGTACTTAACCTCAGAAATATGGGGGGTTTTTTAGCTGTTCATATATATCCTTGAAAAGTTTAATTTATAAATTAACACACAGTGAGATACTAGCAATGAGTAATTAAATACAATTATAAGAATATAATGTGATACAAGTCAGTGAATGTGCTATATTCTCTCTTGTGTGCATAACTTAACCCATGTTAACTCAAAATGTAGAAAGAAAAACCACAGAACATAAAAATGCAAAGAAGAAAAGACTACTGAATTTACTGCTAGTATTTTTTTTTTTTTAGGGTTTTTCTGTTTTGTTTCCCTGCAGGGTCTCACTACACAGCTCGGACTCCTAGTGATCCTTCTGATTTCTGTCTCCCTAGTGCTGGGATTACAGGCATACACAACCATGCCCAAACTCCATCACCAGCTCATCGCTCCTGGAGCCAGGGCCGGCATGGCATGCAGTGCCAGGGATTGAAGCCTGGCGCCTGCACTTACCTAAGCAAGTATTTAGTCTGCTGAGCTATACCACTGGCCCTTCACTGCTAAGATTTTTTAAATCACCTAAAGTGCAGGGTTTTAACATATGAATTTAATATAGTATCTTTGGCTTGACAGGTAAGTTATATTTTAGTACATTTATTAAACAAATAATGCATATACACATATCTATATGTAATACAATGACTCAAACACATTAAAATTTTTAATTTGTTAGCCATTTATAAACAAAATGCATGGTTAGCAAAACAATTTTTTAAAAAAGCTCACCATTTTTTTTTAAAATTCCAAGCACTTGTATCAGAAGATCTGGATGATTCATCTAAAAAGGTTAAGATTAAATCAATATACCATTGTCAAAGTATAAATAGCAGATCATTAGAATCCAATTTTATTAAATTAGGTGTTAAATAATGGTCTATATTTTAAAATAATGAAAAGTAGTGCTTTCACCTTTTATGTCACAAATTTTTTCACAGATGTAAAATACAACACATGTAGTATTTATTATTCTAGAACACTCCTAAAATAGGTTATGAAACCAATAATAATTATTATACTGAGAAAAAATTCTAGCATTTTACAGGAAGCCAAATAAAAAAGAAGCAATTTATCTAAATGATTGTAAGAGAGAAGTTTTCAGGTAAGAATTTTAAAGAATATAGACAACAGGCAGCTTGGTCAAAAGGCTCAGCGTACAATACTACTTTATGCAACAAATGTGTCAAGTATGCTTTGCTTCTACTGAAAATTTCTAATGTTTACATTAACATAAATATTTCAGGTTAGAAAACACAAGTTTGGGGGCCTACCCCTTAGCTCAGTACTTTAAGTGGCTGCTTCAACAAAGCAGTCAGGCTCAGGTTGCTGTGGTTCGATCCCCACAACACAAGTGAGCCAGTCATGCCTTGAGGGCATTCGGAGAAAAAAAAAAAAAAAGAAAGAAAACACAAGTTTTTCAGCCAAATCAAACACCTTTGAGCCATAAGCTTATATTTTAAAGATAAACTTAAATTTTGGCTAATTATATTAAATATCTGCCCTGTCATTAAATAAGTACTGACAGCAGTGTTAAGACAATACTGATACTATTGCTCATGATAGCAGCTACTTCTTACTGGGTATACCCATCTTGTATTAGGCTCTATATACTACACACACACACACACACACACACACACACACACACACACCCCTTTAATATATCTACCTATGTGTAATTTCATTTAACATAACAGTTATTTTGCTTGTTTTGAAAGTGAGGAAACTTGAGGCTCAAAACAGTCAAGTAATTTGCTCTTTGTAGTCAGGATTTGAACCTGATATTTACTTTTAAAACTTTCCATTTTATACTGTTTACCAAAAACAGTAACTATTCAATATGCTCAAATTTAAGCATTTTCCACTTTTACTGCCTTTCTTTTCTACTACCTTTATTTTACCAATCCTATATCCTTTTTAACTTCCCTATATCTAAACAATGGTAATTTCCAAAAGTACTGTTTAATCATAATGGTAACATTATGAATCAGAGTGCTAGACTTTCCTACCCTTCCTTAAAAGATTATCCATTAATATTACTAAGTACTAATTAAACATACAGGAATGACTCTTTTCCAATTACTTACCGTGGAAGGAAATTTTATATCTATATTCACATCACTACTTTTTAGAGCAAATTTAGTCAAAGAAGAACCGTACAACCTAAGTGAACATTCTGGAATAAAGAAAAAATAGAATGCATAAAATTATGTGCAAATACAAGTAATTTTTTTAAAAAGCAGCAGGAAAATATACTTCAATTCTGTGTCTTCTATACTAATACAATGACTACAGAAGAACAGCACCTTCCCTGATATACTACAGTTTCCAAGTAATGGAATACAGACCCACAGAAGAGGTATTACTCCTGAAAGTTCATTTATGAATGACTGAGACTATGTTTATCATTCAACATATTGATTGGACTGATTGTTTGATAATTATACTGAGTGGAGAAAGATCAAACGTTCAATATAAGTGCTGTTTAAAAATAATCAGGTAAGGCCTGGGATATAATTCAGCAGCACAGCGCCTGCCTGACAAGCACAAGGTTGTGACTTTGATTCCTGGTACTAATTAATTAATTAATTAAAAATAAGCAAGTGAGGGTCAGCCAGATAGCTCAGCGGATTAAAGCACCTGCTTAGGCAGACCCAGGAACCAGGGTTTGATCCCTGGCATGCCATGCCAGCCCCAACCCCGAGCACGTTGAGAAAGTGATTGAGACTGGCATGGCAGCGCACGCCTATAATCCCAGCGCTTAAAAGGGTGAAAACAGGAGAATCACTACGAGTCCGATCTGTGTAGTGAGACCCTGTAGGCCCTACACTAAGTACATAAAAACAAAAAAGAATTAAAAATAAATAATAATAATAACCAAGTAGTGTAAGGCTTGGTAGAATACACCTGTAAAGCCAGCAGAGAAGAGTGAGGCAGGAGAATGCCATGAGTTTAAAGCCAGCCTGGGCTAAACGTGGTGAGTTCAAAGTCAGTCTGAACCAAAAACAACAAGAACAAAATAAAGCCAACCTGACTGATGCAAACATAAGACATATAAAGCTTTGTGGCTCTCAAAAATTCACAAAAACATTAAATAGGAACACCTAGCTACAAAATCTATACATCTTTATTAGACAAAACTATATTTCAAACATCATATTTTCAAAGGACTGGTCATCAGAAGGCAAAATAAAAATAATATGTATGACTGGGACTGAGGCTTTTTGAAGGCAATAATGAGGATTGAACCCAAGGCCTAATGTATCCCAAGCAAGCACTCTACCCACTGAGCTACACTCCAACCCAAGTTTTGCTAAATTATTTAAAGTTCATACACAGCTCCAAATAAAAAATCTACTTTTCTTTTTTTTCCTTTCCTTTTTTTTTTTTTTTTTTTTTTTTTTTTGGTGGAACCAGGGATTGAACTCAGGCCCTTGCGCTTGCCAGGGAAGCACTTATTCCACTGAGCCATC